TATATCTCTAAATGATGTGCATATATATTTGGCATTGGAGAAGTCTTCTTTTTCCAAAGATGATGTCTAATGGATTTGAGACTTGGCATTTCTTTATCTGAGAAATGAATACTCTATGTTATATTGAGCTATATGTTATTGTTAGTCAATGAAGAAACAATCTCAAGAATATATTGCAATGCTACATTTTCCAACAGAGAATAAATTCAAGATATTACCCTAACTGTTCACCCATCTAAGTCAAGAAGATCCCATGGTACTGAGACATCTGATAGGCTATATTAACTTCTCTATCAGCTTGAAACACCAGAACAGACTGGAACTGAAACAAAATAAGATGAAAGAGGCATTGACATCCTTTCATATATTTTGCCTTGAAATAATATAATAGTAGGAAGGTAAATTGGATAATTATTTTTCCTTTACATTATTGTTGGAATAAATATTCAATCCCAGACAGAAGACTGTGTATTTTATCTGACAAATCAGACATTCTGTTTGGGAATAGGTACAGGATAGATTTTGGTAGGGCTGAATAAAACAACCCCAAAATGTATAATTCTCCTTTTGTTATAAATCCAGTGTATAAAATTGATGGATGCTGGAATGGAAGGGGCTTTCCAGGAGTGTGAGTGGATGTAGATCAGGATTGGTAACCCACTGTTAGTAGCAATAAATTTATGACAATTTATTAAGAGCATTATTGAGACAGGACAGGAAGGGGGTGAATGTAGGATCAGCCAGTAGGTATCATAGCTACCAACATCAATCTGGATCTTCTTAGTCTTCCTCTAACTTTCTAACCACTATAGTGCAATAACTCCATGCTTAACAGGAAAATCTTGGTACCATCTTCCTCTGTATATCTATTTGTAGAGGATATTGAACACCACTCTTTAGAGTAGAAATGGATGAAGGGGAAATGGAGGCAATTATTATTGCAGCTATATTAATTACACTGTAACTCATATCCATGTTGTGTTTTTCTTCTGGAAAACTCTTTCATTTTAGCTCTGCTACTTACCCGTAATGATTTCTCTTCAGACAGTTTCTGTTAAGTATATCTTCTAAACACTTCCCATCCCAGGCTTTTTTGTCCTGTGCCTAATATTCAAGTCAGCTTGTAGTCATTTCTCCATCTTCTCAGGCTTTCAGTAATATGAAACTGGATGAGCATGTGTTTAAAACTTCATTTAAAAAAATCAGCGTTTTGATCAGAGTATTTTTTTTCCAAGCCTGGTAATGAGGATTATTATCTCTAAATGTCTGAAATAACCATAGTAGTTTTGGAATAGATATTGTATGTTCTTAATTCTTTACACTTGTATGCATGTAATTTAGGCTGCAAGAAAGATATGGCCATGTTTGTTCAGACCATGTACTTTAACCAAACTGATATATAAGTAAACCATTCAAAGGGATTCATCATCTGGTAAGCATTTTGGGGGAGATGGATTCTACTTGTCAGAGTGATGGTGTACTTTTCTATTTTTTTCTTTTTAAACTGGAGGTGACTTGCTTTACAAGGGTGGCAATCCATTTATCCTTGCTCTTCTTGACCTCTCAGTGGCTTTTGATACCATCAATCATGGTATAATTTTGGCCAACATTTAGGGAGCTGGGGATCGGTGTCACAGTTCTGTGCTGGTTCACCTCCTTCATCTGAAGTTGGTCCCATTCGGTGTTGATAAGGAGCGAGAAGTCCAGCTCTCAGCCCCTGCTTTGTGGGGTGCCATAGGGCTTGGTGCTTTCTCTGCTCCTTTTTAACATCTACATGAAACTGCTGGGTGAGATGATCCATCATTATGAGATGAAGTATCACCAGAATGCTGATAGTACCCAGTTATACATTTCTATCCTGGGTGAACTAAGTGATGCTGTTGACATGGAGGATGGAGGAGAACAGACTTCAAATGAACCCTGGAGTGGCTGTGGGTAAGGGGCCCCTTTGCATCTGGAAGTTTATAATCTTTGGTCTTGGATGGGGTTGCACTGCCCTAGACAGACCCAGTACATAACCTGTGGATTCTTGTAAACTCACAATTCTTGGTTGAAGAGCAAAAGTGATAATCATGAATTTGCTCAACTTTGTGTTGTGCACCAATTAAGACCTTTCCTGGATGGGGCAGCTCTCCATTTGATTACTCGTGCTGTGGTCATTTCCTGTTTGAACTATTGCAATGTGCTCTATGTGGGGCTACCCTTGAAAAGTATCTGGAAGCTTCAGTTGGCACAAAATATGTAAACAATCTTGGGCACCCAAAGAATGGCACACATAAATCCTCTGCTGTATGAGTTGCATTTGGTGTCGGTCTGCTTCTGGGTCCAATTCAAGATATTACCAGTAGTTATGATCTTTAAAGCACTACATGTCATGGAGCCAGGTTATCTTCATCCTGTTACATCAGCCTGTCCCACCTGGGCAGACAGGGAAGGTCCTGTCCCAAAATTAGCAAAGGGAAGGTCCTGCCCCAAAATTAGCAAAGGCCAGGGTTTCTCCACCAAAGCCAATATCTTCCTTCCTGTCTTGGGTGGAGCTCTTCTCCCTCTGGGTCTACACTTCTTCCCTTCTTCCAAAGAAGCCACCCCTGGATCTTTCTTCACCCTTTTGGACCAGGTACTGATAAAACTGCTACACATACTTAACTTCTCTAGCCATTCTGTTCACCCTGTGCACAAACTTTTTCTCTCCTTTTCTTTCTCTCTCCAATTTCCAGTCAAACTGGTAGCATCTCTCCCAGCATCTAAGGAGGGGGGTATTGCCCACTAGACTCTAGTTGTTGGGTGTGAAAGACAAGGACCACATATGAAGTTCCAATTAAACTGCTTTATTACTACTCACACCTATGAACAGAAATCTACTCAAATAACAGTTAGCATTATTTTGGCACTAGATAAAGGTTGATGGAATTTAAGAGAGAATGGACTTAGTCCATTTGTGACTATGTAAAGACTTTAAACTGATTCTGTTGACTGCATCCACAGGTTCTACCACTCCTACACTAATTCCCAACACCCATAAACCAGGTAGGACCAATGGAATTGCAGTCTCAAAATGTCCCTGTTGCAGCCAGGTCAGTTCATCAGACCAGTTCATCAGACCAGAACTGAGCTGCTTTTTTCTTTTTACTCACTCCAATAACTGTTCCACACCAGAACAGCAGCCATATCACGTCACTAAAACCCATATGCCACACCACAAAGTTGCTCATACAAGATTCCAATGCTGATTATCACTTAAAAAAAAAACTTTCTGGATTCTAAGAGGTGTGTGAATTGGCACTGTGTGACTGCTACTTCCAAAGCTCATTCTTGCTGGTTTCTCTGCATTTCACCTCCTATTGCGGCTGAACATTGAAAGGGCACCTTGACACCTCCTCTGGTGTAATTAGAAGTGCCAGCAAGTGGTCCCAGTGAGCTAAACCCCATCCTGAGCTAGAAAGCTTTATTATGTATAAAACCATTATTGAAGGCAGAGGAAATGGTTTCTCTGCTGTCATCTCACTGCTTTGCTAAACAGACAGAGGGAGGTGGAACCAAGTCCAACCTAATTAAAGGTAATTGCTATTCATCCTCAGGAACTGTTAAGAGATTCTAGTTTCTTCTTCATTAATAGTCATCAGGTGACATACATACCCTGCTGGCATCTAAGCAGAGTGTAAAAGGCTTGACTGCATAAATGCCAAGACAGATTGGTGCCTGAGATGGCTTTTAGACAGTGCCAGGACAAGCTTCATCAGTTTAATCCATATTTTTGTCCTCCCAAGATCCAATTTGTTATTAAGCTTTTTTTTGGGGGGATGCTTGCTCTCTTTTACATAATATAATTATGCAGCTTCATTTTTTTTAAAAAAAGGGTAAATATAAATTCCCACAGCAATTCAGAAATTGTCACTAATGTCATTTACATTATTTTCAAAAGGAATGTTTAAAGCTGCCTATACATTTCAATACAGTACATAAAAATATTTTCTTAAAGGAGAGCTTATCAATCTGGCCAAAAATTATGCCTTTTATATTTTCCAAATGCTCTTTCTAGGATTTTTTTTTCAGAATTTCCATTTCTTTTCCTCTTTTGTAGCCTTTTTTAAATTGCATTGCATATCTGATTGAAACTGCTCTATTCACTTCCCTCAACCCCTTAAGTGGTAAAAGAAGTAAAGAAGCTCTGTTCGCTTAAGAAGAAACTGTGAATAATAAGTGCATTTATATGTGATGGAACTCAGACATGAAACTGTCAAGTTCTTGCTGAATTTAACTAGCCAATCATTTCATTCATAGAAATTAAGTCTCAGTGAGCCAAAGTTAAATGTGCATTTTGGATCCTTTCAGCAGACTGCATCATACAGGCCTGGTCTTCAACCAACTGTCCTCTACATACACTCACCCATAGTTCTCATCATCCTCAGCCAATATGAGGGACCGGGTTGGGAAAAAAAAAATGTAAACCTAAATATGCCAGTTAAGTGTGCTGAATCCTTATGTAAGCATGGTGAAATCTAGAATGTGACAACTTACCAGTGGGTCAGTCACTCATGTGACACAACATTTAAGCACATTTCCCCCCCCCCCCAAAAAAAAAGAACAGCCATGCCAATCTTGGATCTATCTTGCCCTTCCCACTCCGATAGGAAAAAAATGTAAAAGTGTATCTAGTTTATAAGGTGGATTATTGGACGGGAAAGTGCCATGACACTGGCTATAAAATGCATTGTAAAATGCATGTAAATGTTAGCTTGAAGGATACGGAGTAAAAAAAAAAAAAGCTGGGAGACGGGTACGTTATTCTGACAATCTCACTGGAAGAGATCGTCAACTCTCTAGTAAATTTAAGGAAGAATCAAACGAGCCACAAATAAGACAGAGATCCCCATATTCGACCCTCAGAACGTTGGTTCGATTGTGGGCAATGACTTCGTAAGTCCCGCCCCTTTTCTTCTGGGAAAAGGAGGCTCCTATCAGCCGAGAGGAACCCGAGATCAAATCCCGTCCCTCCGGACTGTTCGTTTGATCCCGTGGCAACGCTTCCTGTTATCCTAGCAACCGACTCGGCGGCCCTGCAGTCCAGTGAGCTGGTACAGCCGGAGGCATCTGGATCGGAACTGCTCGGAGAGAAGGAGCTTTGCGATTTGGGGGCCCTTGACGAGTGTTCGGTTGTAAGAAATCTTTGAAATTTAAGTCACCACCCATGAAAGGGAAATAGAGGCATATAACTGAATAGGACGCTAGAGGCAGCCAGAAGAAATTGGAAACGCTTTTTCGTTTTTATTATTAAGAATTTTGGCTGTTCTTTTTACAAATAGATCATAAGCAAGTAGATGTCACAGACAATTCCTTTATCCACACTCACAAGATCAAAACTTTGCACCCAATGGTATAGGGATACCCACCCCTGAATTTATTGAATTAACATCACGCTAGGAATTCTTACTTCCCCCATTAACTAACCACACACTTCAAGCAACATATTAAGCTAACATATGGCTGGCTACTTTGTGGTGCAGTGTCTCATAGCAACATTATCACCAGAAGTTTGGATAACAATCCTCAACTTCTGAAATAGTTTGTACTCACAATTATTACAGATTGAGTTCTTAATATGGAGGGATGATTTTATATATATGAATAGCAAACTGAAAGTGCCAGCTAATATTCTACTTCAGAATTACTTTTAGTTTGATGCTTTCTTGGTATATGAATTTAGTGCTGGAATTGTGGTTGAAACACCTGAAAGTCCCTACTAGATCCTTACTCTTTCCTTCTTATTCTACCCCTCCTTAGCTTAATTGAATGATGTTGACCCATTAGCTGTCATAAAACATAAACTTACCACTTTTATGTCAAATGTGACTTATATTTATTTTGTAGGGCAGCTTCTAAATAGTGATGTGTAGCATGAATAATTTTAAGAAATACAACGTGCAGTTATTGAGTGCAAGGGGCCTTGGAATTCATCTAGTCCACTGTTTTTCAAACTTGGCAACTATATGTTCTGTGGACTTCAATTCCCAGAATTCCCCAGCCAGCAGAATTCTGGAAGTTGAAATCCACACATCTTAAAGTTGTCAAGATTTAAAAACATTGATCTAGTCCAACATCCTGTCCAGTGCAGGAATTTATTGCTTAAAAATAAAATTTATTATCTTTCATTACACTTATGAAAACTATGACTTTGATGTTATTTCATAAGATAAATGAAATTTTTCAAAATATGTTGTGGATTAATTCTAGTGGATTTCTGGCTTCTTTTCAGAAATTCTCTCCTCTAAAGCTACTGGATTAAATTCTTCGGAAAATTGTCTTGACATGTAGAAGTTCAAAGTTTTTTTGCTAGTATAATTATTAAATAAATAGCCTATGAATGTATTTATCTCAGCATAATCATCTTGAGACCCTGAGTGTACTTATGCTAGGCCATTTATTAAATAGTAATATAATGTGGAGGGGGTTTAGCTGATTAGTAAGCTGGTCAACTCTATTACCCTTTGAAGATATGAGAATAATTTTTCTGCATTTCCATATCTGAATCTAAAGACTGGAACAACAGGGTTATTACTGTTATTACTTTTTCTACACTTTGGCAGGGTCATAGTCTATGTATGATGTGGAAGTCAGTACATTACTTTCTGTCTATTTATGAATGTAGATGAATTTGAGTCAAAGAAAAGTGCAAAAGTATTTACTTCCCTATTTAAACAATACGGAAACAAAAAAATAGAACTCCAGTGAGAATATATAATTGCCACATACTGAATTACTGTGAATTAGTTCAGTGTCATAAAATGATTCACCACAAAACTGGCACATTTCAGTTCCTCCAACATTTGATCATAGAATTGATTCAAGCACTTTGCTATGAAGCAACAGCAACTTTGTTCTGTTACATTTATGATCACACCGAATATTTTCTCAGGATAGAATGAGACATATGTGATTTCTAAAAACAAAAATACATTTTAGAACTCTGTGACCCTAAATTCCAATAGCTCTATCATTTTACCGTCTACTCAAATCATTGGTTCTCTGAACATTTTTAGTGACACTCGGCTATATTTTCTTTTAGTTTTAAATTTTAATGTAGCCACAGAAAGCCCATAAATTGTGAAAATGAATGCACAATATTTGTTTAATAGGATATTCTAGTAAGCTCCTTTAGAAATTCTGCTTTTTTGTCAGAACTGTATGCCCCTTGTGTACGCTCTACACCAGGGATGTTAAACTCAATTTCATTGAGGGCCGCATCAGCATTGCGGTTGCCCTCAGGGGGCTGGGTGGGTGTGGCCAGGGTGGATGCGGCCTACTGGGTGGGTGTGGATGGAGTGGGTGTGGCCTACTGGGTGGGCATGGCCAGCTCTACATCGTTCGTATCAAGGGTGCCTGTGGGGGCCTGGGCAGGAGTGGGATAGATCTGAGGGTCTCTGGCAGAAGGGGGTGGCACCGGGGCAAGTGCCCAGGCATGGTCCACTGGAGGAGCCTCACTGTTCCTCTCAGGCCATGCGGGGGGGTGGCTTATGGAGCTAAGACTGAATGCGTTTCAGCATAGATGGCCACCACAAAATTGTACATTGGCTCCCTCCTGGCCGGCCTGGGCCAAGGCCAAGGCAGCGGGGGCTGTTCTCTCACTGTTTCCCAGATGGCTTCGTGGGCCACATGAAACCAGCCCCCGGGCCTTGTGTTTGACATGCCTGCTCTACACAGTAGCAGTTCAAATATCCTGCTTTCCTATCTTTCAAACTCTGACACAAACTCAATTTGGCAGTAGTGTAAGAAAAAGTCCATACTTGCCTTTACCATGTCATCTTCCTGACAAGGACAAGATGCTCTCTTGCTGAAGCCTGTTATATTTTTATGACAACTGACTCTCGGCTATTCAAATTTATGTTGTGGAGCAGAAAATCCCAAGATTGGAAGGTATAATTAATTAAGTACAAGGAAGTTCTTCAATGCCTGTCTCAGATTGCCAGACTGGAGGGTGTCACAAAGAGAAAGCAGCAAAATTTGTGTTTATTTCACGAAATATACATGCCTTACTCTCTTTTGACTGATTATTCAGAAAATTAAGATACCTACAGATCAAATTGTTTCAGACCATTGAAGCAAGTGAATTTACAGTATTTTCTGTGTGGGGCTTTAATCTAATTTTAAAATTGATTTATTGATAGTTATTTGTTTTTTTAATTGATTCCAAGCAAATCAGCATTCTAGCACACTACTACTGTATATCTTTGTTGTTCTAATAGTCCTTTGAGTTAGCCTGACTCCTGGATTTTACATAGACAGGTTTTCTTGGCAATATTTTCAAAATGGTTCACCAATATCTTCTTAGGGACGAGAGAAAGAGATTATTTTCAAGTCATCCAATGGCCTTTGTGTTATAGGAAGAATAAAACTCTGGTATCCCTGTTCCTAATCCAGCACCTTTAACCACTACACCAGATTGCCTCAAATAGCTGGATATTATACTATTTGGATTGCATATTGAATTTTTTATTATTGATTCCGTTCTCACAGTTAATCTCTGCCCCCCACGCCTGATCCCACAGATTTCTGGAACTTAGAACCCAGCAATACTGTGTGTAGAAGGTCTTTGACAATATTGGACAAGGGTACATGCAGCATTATAGACAACTGTTATTTTTTTTTTTTAATTGAAAGTTTTATAAATTTTACAAAAAGAGAAAAACAATACAAAACAAAAGGCAACATATACAAAAAAGAAACTAAACATTACATATATATATATATATATATATAAAAAAAACCCATCCCCCACCCCTCACAAAAACCCTCCCTTCCCCCCCCTGAGCTTCCCAGAGCAGAATATAGGCTTAATTAAAAATTAAGAAATAAAAATAAAAAATTAAATTAAAAAATTTATATTTATATATATATATAAAAAATATCTCTATATATATATAAAAATAAAACTTATAAAAAAGCTATGTGATATTTTTGTATACCCAATCTAAATTGTATAAATTTTATCCATTTGTCCCAAACAGCAAGGAACTTCTCTTGCGTTTGTTGCTTTAAGAAAGCCGAAATCTTTGCCATTTCCGCCAGATAAGCTACTTTAAGAAACCATTCCTGCAATGTAGGCAAAGATTCCTTCTTCCAATATTGTCCTACTAACAGCCTAGCGGCTGTAATCAAATTTAACATCAATACAACCTCCTTTGTATCACAATCTGTAACAATGCCTAACAAAAATAATTGCGGAGTAAATTTTACCCTCCTTCTAAAAATTCTCTGGATATTCCACCATATTTTGATCCAAAATGCTTTTATCTCTCTGCATGACCACCAAATATGATAATAGGAAGCATCCTTATAACCACATCTCCAACATTTGGGTTGCACGTCAGGGTACATAAGAGACATTTTTTGTGGATCAAGGTGCCATCTATAAAACATTTTATAAAAATTCTCCCTAAGGTTCTGTGCTTGTGTAAATTTGACATTTCTCACCCAAATGGTTTCCCAAATGTCCAATGAGACTGGGACACCAAAATTCTGCGCCCATCTAATCATACAATCTTTAATTAATTCCGTTTCTGAGTCCATTTCAACTAATACCCCATAAATTCTCTTGATATGGGTTTGTCTTTGATCCTTGACTTGCTTAATAAGATTTCCATCTTCTCTAAGAAAACCCAATTTACAATCCACCTTCCATTTATCTACTAGTTGCCTATATTGAAACCAAGAATAAATAATATTTTCTTGCGCTAAATCTTCCCGTAATCTTAACTGCCAGTTTTGCCCATCCCATCTAAGTAACTGACTATAAGACACCATGTCCATTTTTACTCCTCTTTTTATTCCTTCTATCACATGCCAAGGTATAGCCCACAATGGAACTTTAAAATCACTTTTATAATATTTTCTCCAAATCCTAAGTAAAGAAATTCTTAAAATATGAGATTTAAAAACCCAGTCCATTTTTTTATTAAATATTAAATAGGCATGCCACCCATAAAGTAAATCCCATCCCTCTAAATGAAGTATCTCAGGATTTGTCAAATTTACCCAATCACTGATTAGTGTTAAGACCACCGCATCGTAATATAATTTCAAATTTGGTACCTTAAGTCCACCCCTCTCACGGAAGTCTTGCATAATTTTAAACTTAACCCTTGGCTTTTTCCCTGCCCAA